CTTCTGTGTTTCTGTTGTATGTATGTACAGTATGTGTTTGTTTGTTTATGGGGCACTTTGGAAAATTGTCTCTTTTCCCTAGTACTATGCAATAAACAACCCACAGGCTTTACAATGAGTCATAAAAGGATAGACAGGGATTGGTAGAGGGAAGAACCAAAGTAAGAGGGGCTGTGGTTTGATCTGTGGCACAGATCAAACCACATCAAACTGAGTGGCTAGTCTAGCACCAAAGCAATTTGTGGTCTCTGTGTGATCACCCAATCCCAATAGAAGTGTAAAATAGATGGTGGATCAAGCCGCAGGAAAGCCCGACTGCTCTAGTTCAGCTTGCCAGTAAAGTTGCAGCCGGAACATCCCTAGACAAGTCACTGCTGGGAAAAATATTAAATCACAGAAATCCTAAACACAGTATTAATACCAATACACCTATTCATTTGGCATATAAATAGGGTTGCTGAGAAATAAGGGGTGTGTGTCTAGGTATGTAGAATAATTAAATGAGGAACACATATTTTAAACAGCCATGTGAGTTTCCATAATTACAAAACATAGGCGGCAACCAAGCTTAACGAGAGAGAGAGAGAGAGAGAGAGAGAGAGAGAGAGAGAGAGAGAGAGAGAGAGATTATGTGCCTGCTTGTGTATGTCTATAGCTAACTAGAGGAGCCTGTTATAAGCCTACACTTGAAAGAACAGATGAAACATGGAATGCTAGGGTGTTAGCTGAAAAGAGAGAGAGAGAAAAGAGGGAAATGGGGGGAGGGAGGGAGGAGAGGAGACTGCCCTGCTCAATCCTTTGTCAGGTTATAAAAGATATCTTTGCTGGGGAATTATGATTCAGAGAATACTAAGGACATGAAGTTTAAAAATTCCTCCATGAGACACTTTCACTTTCCAACAGGCCCTCAGCCTCACTTATACATCTGGTGAGGACATCTCTTATCCCTCTTCCATGAAGGACACCCCCATAAAACCTGAATGCCATTGGAAAGTTCCTGTTGCAAGCTGTCAAGAGGCCGGAACTGGAGCATGTCTATTAAGAGACTCCTGCTATAAAGAGATGCAGTCATAAGAAATAGATTAATTACCTTCAGCAGGTGACCTCGTAAGCCCTACTCAGGTGTGGTTAAAGCATTGAATGAAAAGAACATGCCAGCCCATTTTCCTCCATTGTCATTTTAATAATGGAAACACAACAAACCGAACAGGAGAGGCTACTCTATCCAGGTAGCTTCTCTAAATGAGGAAAAACCTTGCGTTTCTGTGATTAAAGGAACGATGGAGGGCACAGGACTTACATATTTTGCATGTTGCATCTGGGCTTATTACAGATGTTAACCACACCTAAATAAGGCTTTAGGATGCGACTGCACTGGCCCTTTTGGAGAAGGTTGGTGCAATCTAAATAGGGTTGCTTGAGGTTGAGGAGAAGGACAATATGCCATTTGGTGTGATCGTCACATCCAAATGGCATAGCAACATCAAGTGACCTATTTAGTCCAGCTCTTTCCACAATAAATTTCTAATATTGTGCTTAATAAATGAGCCTCCTCAAGATATTGGCAAATTTAACACTTCCCCTGCTCCTTTGTGGAGGGGTAGGGGAATTTAAATGATTATTATTTGCTTCTGCAAGATCATCAGTGAATCATTTAATTTTTTTAATTGAGGCAGTGAATCATTTAATTTTTTTTTAAAAATATTTGCTTTGTGTGTAGTGCAGATTGAGAAACTGCCTACAGCTATGGTTTCAATTGGCACTTCACACAGAGGCAAATAAAATAATTTGTACAGTGGTACCTCGCTTAACGACCGCACTGTTTAACGATGGATCTGCATAGCGATGCGTTTTTGCGGTCGCTAACGCGATCGCATTGTGGTGATTCCAATGGGCGAAACGGATCTGCATAGCGATGCGTTTTTTGCGGTTGCTAACGCAATCGCATTGTGGTGATTCCAATGGGCGAAAATCGCATTGCGATGATCGGTAAGCATTTCGCTTACCGATCTTCGCATTGCGATGTTCTAAAAACAGCTGATTGGTGGTTCCAAAATGGCCACCGGAAGAATAAAATGGCTCCCTGCAGCATTTTCACGCCCTGTCCTCGCTTATCCCCGCAGCATTTTCACGCCCTGTCCTCGCTTACCGAGGCGGCAAAAATGGCGGCCGGATGGGGAATCTTTGCTTACCAGTGAGTTTTCGCCCCATAGGAACACATTAAACAGAGTTTTATGCGTTCCAATGGGGTTTTACATTGCATATAGGGATGTTTCCAGATAGCGACGTTAATCCTGGAACGGATTAACGTCGCTATGCGGGGCACCACTGTATTTTAATCTAAGTGATTCAGCACATCAGTGATGGTCTAACAGAGGCAAAACAAGTTTTTACTTCCACTGTCGTTCTGCAGAAGAGCAGGGAAGTGTTTGATTTGTCAATATCCTGAAGCTGCTTGCTTACTAAGCCACTTCATGATACTGGAAAATGAGAAAAGCAGGAGCCTTGGCCACTTTGGCAACCACAAGGCTTGGTTCTGGCTCATTACCAGTTATGCCAACACTGGAAATGGACCAAAATGGAGTACACCTACCTACACCAAAAAAAGGTAGAAGAAACCCCTTCAAAAAGGTGTCAGTTAGGGGTGCTCTGAAGATGGATTGGTTTGCTCTAGTGATCAGATTGTCTGATCACTGGGGGGAGGGGGGAAGAGGAAACCAACTCACCTCTGCAGTACACTAAACAGTGGGACAAATGCTCATCTGATTGAACCCTGAGTTACCCTGTTAAAGGACATATGATTATTCTTCCTGGTCCTGTCATCTGACATCAGTTGGTAAAGCCCTGTTTCATGATTAGTGTTTTGTCATGGTTCAGCGGGTAAAGATGAAGAACAGTGTTTTCTAAATCATGGCATCTATTATGCAGAATGCTATTTTGGGTAAATCTGTCTGGCATTTTTGGGTTTTGTAATCTAGAGAAATGCTGAAATTATTTCTGTTTGTAAAGCATTTCCTCTTGGATAATGTTTCTGGAGGTTGATACCGTTTAACTGTAACTGAATTTTTGCTGAATCTGTCATTTCATGGGTTATAATGCTAGGATTACATTTCACATTTTGTATTTCAGTGTGATGCTGTTGCACATCACTTACAATGTCTTGTAGCAGAAATACTGTGAACATTCAAATAAACAATATCCATTTTCCCTATTGTTTTCACAAACACAATGGTTAATGAATGACAAACATGGATTTAAAAAAATATTTTCAATACATTATTTTGGTTGATGTGAGTTATTAAGTCCCACACAAGTAATGCACAAATTATGTTTAAACTGTCTTTTGAACCTTCCAAATCTGTATTAGTACATTGGAGGTACTTAATTTTAAAATGGCACATTGCTGATTCAACATTAAGAGCATTCACACATGTGGGTGGGAAACACAGTGTAATATAACTTTGAATGTACTTTTTGGCACATCTGAAAGTTAGCACATACAAACATAAGCCAGAATGGTGATTAGGATCAATGTTCCTGGTCTCTCTGTGGCACAGTAGTTATAATTTAGTTCCACTCTCTGGTGGGCTGGTAGTACTTGTACAATACCGTAAACGCTGACTCTTTACTACATTGTTCTTAATGTAACTTTTCCATCACTCAGAGCAGAATGCTGCAAGCCATGATAACCCTATGCAATATGTTAGGGACAGCAACTTGGCTGAGGTCCTTCAGTAAATTCCATAGCCTGAGTTGATATAAAAGGCAGCCATGTTGGTGCTTGAAAATGAAAAAAATGAAAATAAAATCCACAGCTAAGGAGTGCCTTTACTTGGCTTAAAAAAACAACACTTGGGACTTGAAAGCCTGTGCATTTTTCTTAAATTTGTGTTGTTCCTAACACAGGTTTTGTCTCCCTCTGGATAGCATGAGCAGAGATTTTGGCTATACCTATAGAGTTTTCCACCCAGGTTTCCTCTCTATCCTCTTTTCCCTTTTGTGCCCAACAGATTGTAAGCCATTATTAGCAGAGAACAAACACAGAAATGTTGCAGAGAAATAAATGCCACATAGTTGGTGTCTTTCATCCAACTTCCTCAGCATGTGGCATCAACAGCTGGAACGCAGCATGGTGCCGCAGATAACTATGCTGAAGAAACGGTGATGAGAACCACCCGGGAGTACACACAACCACAGACGGATCCAATTCGCATTAGTTATTCTGGGTTTTAGGGTGTGATCTGCTGAACTGGTGTCCCAACCCACCTCAAGCGCACAAAGGGAGACAGGCATTCAGGCACTGGTGGGGACTCTTCTATTTCCCCCTTTGAGTCCCTCTTCGACCCCCCCCTCCACAACTGACTGCGAAACAAGGAAGCATGCCGCGTTTCTTGCCTCCTTCCTTATCCATTTCCCTCTTTTCGTAGTAACGGCGGAACG